TAATGTCATGCCCCTTACTTGGTCTTTCCTTTCGACTTCAGTGGACGGCACTTGGATCACCTGTTTGTTTGTGAGTTTTTTGCTTGGCGTCCTCTTACAGAGTTCGCTCTGTAACGTCAACCTAGAATATACATCTCATTTTACCATAAAAGTATACCCGTAATTTGTGTGTAGTGGCTGTGTTGTTTCACCGCTTTGGAGTTTGACAGTTCTGACTCGGGGGGTAAGCGACGAGGCCTGCCATTGTTCCCGTCTCTTACATAGCTCTGGTGTTTGCTTAGCAAAGGAAGACATATCGCCCCGTTTCATCGTTCTATGTTTATGGATAGCTTGAAGTTGAAACGAAGCTAAAACAAATATTGATACCACTCAGCCGTGAACCGACCAATTTTGGGGGTTTATTTCTGGAGTATTCTATTAATTACACCAGGGCGCAGGTCGTAAAGTTACATACATCTAACTGTATAAAATAATTATGAAATCCCCCCCCCCTTCCCCTCAAAATAAATAAATAAATTTAAACTATGGCTCTACTTTTTTGGCGGGCAGTCCAGTTCTGCAAAACTCCAAACGTTCTATTATAATGTATTACTTTTTAGGGTGTTCTTAGAAAATTTGCCGAGTTCCTGCCAGAAAGGCCTTTCGAACCATTGTTTGGTTCATTTAAATGAAATGCATTCACTTTGTTTATAAGAGACACGACGGAAATATTGAAACGTGGACATCTTTCTAACATTTTAATAAACTAAGTAAAATACACACACACACGAGTCGATGTAATGTTTGACCTCTTCCTGTAAGGAAACTTGTATCCGGACCAAGAGTCTTGTTTTCTTTTTTTTTTTCATCCTTCTTTTTTAAAGTGTGTTATACACAACAACGCCTGAGAAATAAGAAACACAATGTCTTTAAATGTTTTTTTTAAATAAGTTAACAAACACTATCACTTTATAATATTTTCAAAATAGGTTGACAAAATAATTATTGTCGAAACTGTGGTCGAAGTATTTTTCTATCCTATAGTGGCAAAGTTGTTGTTAAATTGATCAATGGCCTTAGGAGCTTCTACACGCTTGAACATTTTAGGAACGATAAAATTGTTTAAAAGACTCCAGACAAAAAGACCTGTTTCCGTGTGACTCCGTTTTTCACGGCACAGCTTGTACCCCATCAACGTCTTGTGTGGAGTCCCAAAATGACGCGACGTTCACACTAATACGGGTGTCTTATTTCTCTCGGCGCCCGCCCCATTGTCTGGGGGTACTCCACCCCATTGTCTGGGGTACTCCGCGGTAGCATAGCTTGAGGAGCAAAGTATCCCGTGCAGACGATTCTCGTGTGTGTGTGTGTGTGTATATGTGTGTGTGTGCGTGCGCGCGCCCGCTGGTGGAAGAACCGGTGCACTGGACCAGCAACTCTGAACAGAGGGTCACGGATTAGATGCTTCGACACGGTCCAGCTTTCAATGGGACCAGAGCCGGGCGCTGTGGTTTCTTTAATAAGAAAAACACGAAGGATAAAAAAAGCGCTTTCAGAAAAATCAGGACTTAGCAATTTTAAAGCCGCAGTTATTTCAAATATTTCTATTGGGCCGAGATCCCCCCCCCCTGTCTGTGGTAATAAAAGATGAAACGCTCGAACAGCTTTTTTTTTTTTTTTTTTACCTTTAGTATAAATATCAAATGGCCCTGTTGTCATTCCCAATCTTTAAAATAGACACACAACCTCAGAGGCGACAAAGTTTAAAATTGTTTTTTGAAACGTTTTTTAAAGTATTTTTTTTTTAATTAAAAAAATCCAATATTTGTTTTATTTTTTTTTTAAATTAGTTTCCAGATTCGGTTTTTATAAATAATTTTCAATAAAAAAAAGCCGCGCGTATATAATTTCTTGATGTATTATAGCACGAGCCCACACGTGCGAATATTTACTTTTGTATTCTAGCGTTATATGCGATACTTCAGTCTGGCCTGCGGGGATTTGAACATTAGCCTCTGGCCCAAATAAATAGAAGTATTTTGTATTGCATTTTTAAAACAAGGTTTAGTGATCAAAATGAAAGAGAATGAAATACCAACGCGGGGGGGGGGGGGGGGCAAAGCCGTTCTTAGGCATAGGAAAATTAGATGACCGCCTAGGGCGCCACTGCACAGGAGGCCCCACGGGGCGCTTTTTTTTTTTTTTTTAGCCTGCAACTTGCAAGTCCATTTATTTCAGAAGTACATCTCTTCTCTAGTGGCGGAATTATCAATATGGTTAGTGGTTACACGTGAGCAAAGAGGAAACAGTGAAGAAGGCAGAATGGGGGTGCCTCCTTCCGGGGGTCCCCTGCCTACGCTCCATGCCTAGGGCCCCCCAAAATGCTAAGAATGGCTCGGTTTGGGGGGGGGGGGG